ATGCACCGGGGAGGGCGTTCTGCAGATCTTCCTTCTACCTTGGAACAACCCCACAGGACCAGTGGGAGCTTGCCATTTCCCCATGTGTTATAAAATTATTATAGAACTATGAAAGACTTCAGGGAAAAATGAAGATTTCTAGATTTTGCCAAGCATACACACTTGTCTAAAAGAAAATGGATTTTTGTCTTGGTGTGCTGGTATTTGAGGTTGAAAGAAATTGAGGAATTAGCCTGGGCTACCCTTACATTGACTCTAGATGTCATTTTATGGGAATTCTGCATTCTTGGATTATGTATACATGGTGGTGTTTTATTAACACACTATCCAAACAATAGGAACTGCAGCAGTAGAGTTATAAGTGTTGGATGGTTCGAGGAGAGGCTGGGCTGTCCTTCTTGGAGACAGAGTATCTATCTTCAAGTTTAAAGGATTAAGGATTTAAAGGACTCCAACCCCTGATGATGTGCTTATGTGACTACAGAATAGGACCTAATTTACTAATCAGACACAATGAGGAACGGAACCTCTGGAGAGAGAAGAAGAGGAAAATTAGTGCTAAAAAAAGGAGAGAGAATAGAAGAGAAAATGAGTGAAGAAACAGATAGTGCAATCTAAGTTCAAATATAATATACATGCTCTGCTTAATGCTAGTACTTCTCTTCTTTCACATGCTTTGCTGATCTCGTGTAGTTTTCACCATAAAAAGTTGCCCACAGTAACAGTGATGCTTCTGGAAGGTGAGTATCTGTATGTCAGGAGAAAAAATAACACTCGCATTGAAGGATGATTTAAGATTATTCTTCCGCACTTCTGTGTGAGATTGGATCTATTGTAACCTTCCTAAACCTTTGTTACCTTTGTAATTTAAACTGACAGGTTAAATGCTAATGCAATTGACAGGGGTGAACAAGTGGTCAAGGAACAACCTGATCTGACTGTATAATGCATCAGAGAATTGCAAAAATATGCAGGTCAGATGTAATTTTGACAGAAAATGGCTCGCTGCAAGGGTTTATGTTTCCCTGGATAGTCTTAAAAAGAGTTGGACTATAGTAAGTACCACATTGCTTGAAAAAAATACCAAGTTAAACTTAATGGAAAATATCCAAGTTCTCAATATCCTCAGATTTCATTATCAGTTTTTATTGGAGCTAGGATAATAAGATTATAGAATTAAAAGAAAAGTTATACCCATTTTCTTCAGCTCAGCAGTCCTAATGTGCAAAAAGAAAGCGACACTCATTTCTCACCATAAATACACAATGAAAACTACTTGGGGAAAAAAAAGTGGTCTCTGACCATATACAGCCTGATTTGATCCTTACCGAAGTAGAAATTCTGTTACTTCAACAGGCCTGGGTCATGGCAATTACTTGTAACAGTGGGTAAAAAGACATTAGCTCATTAATTAATCCTGAAGTTAATGGTTTTCCGCTTGGCATACCGCGTATGACTGGTGAGTGAGAGCAGGACGTGAATCAAGAGCCCAGAGCAGCTGCTCAAAGCAGCAGCCTCTCTTTTCCAGGGGTATTTATGTGAAACAGTAATACCTGGGAAGATTGGGGGCAGTTCAACCCAAATCATCTTATATTTTCAGTTTTTAGGGAGCTTCCAGCAAAGAGACCCACATTTAAATCGCTCTGCTGACTGCTCAAAATGAATCTGAAGCAGAGGGAAAGTTGGGCAACTTTCACCTTGTCCAACAATACTCTGTGAATCCCACCTTTATTTCCTTAGATTAATCTATGTCCTTTAAAAACAAAAGTGTTTTGGAATACAGATTAATTTCCATTTTGGGCCATTACAAAAAACTGCTCACTCCAGTCTGAGTATTACCTAGGAAAAACCCCTTCTGCTGAGAACACTGGAGAAGCATCGGTTCTCTGAAACCATTCTGATCAAGAAGAGAGCTGGTGAACCCAAAATTTGTCTGCAGTGACATTATGCTAATGTATTTTTGGTACCATATTGCTTAAAAGAGTGTTCGTTTGGTTGCCTTTAAACTCTGAAATGCCAGAAATTGCTCAGACTGTTGGCACTGCCAAGCACTCCCCGAGTCCCCACTCCAACAAGAAGCCACAAGCAGGCAGGAAGTGGCCCAGAACAGAGAGAGAGAAAATAAACGTATTTTCAAGAAGCTGCTCCCTTCAAGAAGTTAACTTTTTTTTAATATCTTGCTAATATTTTTACTTTTTTTTTTTTTCTTCTTCTTTCTCAGAGGAAATTTCAGGGTTGAATTTGTCCCCTGGCTGGTGCAAGTATTCACTGTATTCATCTATATAAATGTTTAAAAAGGAACATAGAAATGTAAATTGCCTCAGTGCTTTTAAAACCTTAAAAATAATAATTCAGTGCCTGCTATGTGAAATGGACCCATCCTCGCTGCTTTAACCTGCAGAGTAGGTTAGCATAACATGAAATCAATTATTGTACTAGCCATATAAAAGCTGTCAGCTTTAATACTTAACTGCAGTATCTCCTCTGAATGTTTGATTTCCAATCACCTGTGTGAAGCTCCAGAAATACAGAGACATCAGACAGGTTCTGGGGTAAGAAATGTATTTGACTATCCCAAGTTACAAAAGTGAAATTTGGAATGAATAATGCACCCTGTGAACACTGCTCCCTTTTGAATCAAACATTTCCTAGTCCCCTAAAGTAAAGCAGAGCACAAACTACAGAACAAATATTGAATTTCTATTCTGCATTGTCATAATTGTGACACCATTTCACTTCTTTTTCAGCTTCTCTGGAACCAGCTCGGATTTAGCTGGAACATTATTCTCATCCTTTTCCTTTTTTTCTTTTTTTTTTTTTTTGGTGGGTTTTTTTTTTTTTTTTTTTTATTTGTCTTCTATTTGTGGGAACATTATTCTTCTCCTTTTTCTTTTTTTTTTTTTTTTTTTTTTTGGTGCGTGTTTCTCTGCAGAGGGAGAATGAGAAATGCAAAAGAAATACTTTGACTTTCACAGCCCTTCTACTTCCTACTACTAAACTTTATTATATTCTGATTATAAATAATGAAAATTATTATTCTTTCTTCTGATAGGTGCTTTATTATGTGACCTTGTTATGGTTCAGATTGCAATCTTACAGTTTGTATCGGTAGCTGTGACCACAGACATTCCTTCATTTGAGAGTCCTAAAAATGATGGATTAAACAAGTTTTTGTGATTCTCAAGTGCCAATATTATGACAATAATTTGAAACAGAGCTGGGACAACTGCCTGGTGTGGCGGGGAAGGAGTCAAAATTGTGACTCTGACTCCTTTCCCCCACCACGTTCTTCTGTAGGGAAGGGGAAGGTTGAGGGTCCCCTGGAGAAAAGTCATCTCAGATCCTGTGTCCTTCAGAAAGGCAACGCTGTAACCCCCAGACAAGGCCAACAGCCAGGACAGGTTCCTGTGACTTCTCTTTTGTATGTGTCTGTTTGAAGCATCTCAAAAGTAAAACCAAAACAATCTGTTGGGGTTCTCAAGTCCTGTCGGGTCTGGTTTGAAGCTCTCAGTCACTGGGCAGCTTTGGTGCATTGCTTCTAACACCAGAAACGTTACCTGCCCCTGGTCCACAATAATTTGCTACAAAGAGGGATAAAAGGATAGAGCAGGAAAGATGTTTATCTTGGCGTATTTCAAGCTAGAAATGATGATCTTAAATCAATTCCTTTTGTGAAATACAAACTCCATGTTTAGCTCTTCTTAAAGAAAAGAAAAAAAAAAGGAAAAAGATAAATCAGGATTTATCCTCAAGATCAACTCTCATTTTCTTTCAGAAATTACATTCTAGACAATAAGTAATCATTAGGTGCCAACAGACCTGAGAATCTGATTTTAACTTTCAGGTAACATATTAAGGCTATAACCAAATCTGAGGACTATTATCGTAGCAAAATGACTGTAATGCTTCAAGGCTATAATAGTCATCATCTTTTTATCATTCATATTACCATCAGACCCAGAAACAATGAATTCCTTTAACGTTATTCTACCATAACCTTTAACTATATGCGTTATTTCAAACATCTGAAATAATCCTTTATATGACACAGTAGAAAAATACATTTGCCACTCACTGCACACTGCAGTTTGCTAAACCCAGATTAGTGAAAATACTTAAGGCTGTTCCACATATCATGAAAATACATCTATTTCTTTTCAGTCGGGCTGTGGCACGACCTTTAAGTGATACGTAAATTGAAGGAACACCAATAGAAAACATAAGGTTCATAAAAGTCTGGGAATGCTCTTTCAGTTATATCACCATTATAAAAGCATCCTGCTTACCTAGTTTTGGGAGGGCTTTACTTGGCTGGCTGGCACATATTTTATGTGGAATGTGCAACATAAATATTCCGTGGGTTCATTATAAACCTGTGCCTGTGATATACCTTTCCAGTGTCCTTTGTGTTCTTTCATGAAATGTTTATTCCTGTTATATCAAGGAGGTGCTAATGCATAATACTAGCACTATACATTGACCATCTTGATAAATAATTGTGTGTATGCTCCAGTGCTTCTGTGCATAAACGCTCTTATATCTAAGTTACTACAGCCCTAGGCCCTGAATGGATCAAATTTGTAAATACAGCACTATATTTCTTACCTCTGTTGAAGTGTATTATGATAGCAGAACCAGCATTTATCTGGACTGTTGATATAAAAGTTTCTAGCCACACAAGCAATGCATATTGCATTACAGGATTTTGTAATAAACTGCTTGAAATACTGCTAGAGAGAGAGAGGATCTTGCAAAACAGCAAGGGAGCCCTGAGGCAGAAAGTTTCCTACTGAGTACAGAGTGCTTTGGATCAGGTCCTTGGAGAATACTACCTCTAAAATAACAAGTTTGAAGAATTTAATTGCGACTTCTTCAATGTCATCATGTCACTGAAAACTGGATGCTTTAGTTCAATGAAAAGCCTCAGAAATACAGAACAGCTTTTTGTTGAAATTTAACTACTTCAAAGAAACTGAGTATTTCATTTCTATGACATGAGGTGTGGCTTCCAGTTGTACTAAAGTGCTTAAAATAAGCATGAGATTGCAATTAGGATGTAAAGGATTTGGTTCTTCAGCTCGGTGGGACTGGCTTGTCCTTCTTCTGTAGGAAACTTGCCCAAGAGATCTTTGCTTCCAGAATCTGTTTGGAGCTTCAGCCTCTACTGCCAGTGAAGGCTCCAGCTCAGGGAGGAGACCCATGACATCAGGCCTGAATAAAAAAACAGTGTTCCAAAACTATCAGCTGATCCACATCTCCTCTGCAGCACCCAGCTGGTGGTGATATGGAAATGTAATCTTAACCAATCTAAATTTATTGGAATATCCCTAAACTGCATTAAGGAAAAGGGCTTCAGATATAAAGGATTCAAGCACAGGATGGGGACAGTTATTCTTCCACTGAACAAGCAAAAAGTTATTGGACTTTTGGTCTAATTTTTCTGTGATTTCTCGTGTGACCTTTTACAAGCCTCACACGGTCTGCCCAAGGAAATCACAAAATGATTTCCATTGGCTTCAATGGAGGAGAGATTAAGGTCCTAATTTCTCTTTGAATCAGTTTTCTCATTAGTAAATTACCAACCTCAGAGCTTAATGCTTCCGATGCTCTTCAGTATCCTTGAAGGGGAAGTGCTATTGGAACGTTAACTGTCCTTATTGCCAAGTCACACAGCATACAAATCTAGATTGATACCAGCATTTCAGCAGCGCTGTGAAATCTGTGCCCGTGTTCCCTCTGCCCCAGAAGAACCAGGCAAGAATCAAAAAGATTAAACATTATAGCTATAAAGAGAAAGCTGGGTTCTCAGCAGGTACCTTGTATTTCCTGCAGGTTTTACTATATTTTAGGCCAGATTTTCATTTGCTGTCATCCTAGCACTCTGCTAAACTCCTCATTTCATTCACAGAGTTAATCAGCAAGTTCACTTCACCTGGGTTTGAAATTTCTGGAGCTGGATGTTCACCTTGTTTGGGTACTCCAGGGCTTACCGTGCTCAGACGGCGTTATGAACTCCAAGCTCAAGCAGAGGCAAAAGTTGTTCATGCTGGCAGTGGTCATCTTTAAATATAAACATCTAAAAGGAAAAGGTGAAAATTTCAGATTAACCTCCATTGAAGAAGAAATGAAAGACTGGCGGCAAATTTGCTGCTGAGATAAGTATTTCAAACGTGGCCAATTCTGAACATTAAAAAGGCCCAGCAGGAAATCATTAAATCTGAGTGATAAAATGGGTTTATTTTAATTTTCTAGCCTGGATGTTCATTAACAATGAATGGATTGTGGAAAATATTCTTCTATATCTTGCAGCATGACTTAGATAGTAACTGTATTAACCTAGTCAGACTTCCCATCAGCAGTTTCTCTTGGATTGTTTTTCATCAGATGCTACTTGCATCACCCAAAAGGTAACTTTTTATATTAATTGCTAAGGGCTAGACCCACTAGAGTATTTCCGTCTCTGTAACTGTGATTTTTGATGCAAATACTTAAATTTATGTCCTGCAAATCTCAGCTCAGATGTCACCAAGCCCTGGAGTTACGTGTGCCAGAGCAGGTAATCCCCAGCTGTGATGCCTGAAGGACCCAAAATAATCAATATCACGGGCTGGATTTCATGCAAAACACAGCCCCTTGTGTCTTTCCCACCTAGAAGGACATTAATTGCATCACTGAGCTGGGAAGTGGCAGACTGAGGTTGAGCTCTGTGCTTTTCCTGAGGGGGGGTTGAACTCCTGCCTCCGAATGTCCTCCCTGGACTAGGCCACCAGTTAACCGTCAGGGATGACTTCATGGTGTTTCTCTTAAAGTTATTCAACTTGCATAAATTTAACTGCCACGAAGTCTTTGTAAACTTATTGGAATAGGGATGGAAAGCAGATTTTTTTCCTTTTCCAAGGTGGGAGCTTTACCCTGTAATCACCACGGCCACACTCACCATGGAAATCTTGCTTTGTGCCTGTGCTCATGTACAAAAGTAAAGACTAGGTAAATCTAGTTTTAGCATAATCCATTATTTGGAATAAATGTCCATCTATCTCCCTCGCCCCCACACTCTGCTCCAAACCAACCCCATTTTACCATCATGAATTAAAAGCCCATCCTTGCTCTGTCTCACATAGGTTCATTCATACCCACCCTTTGGAAGTATCCACATGATTCCAGTGTCCTCCTCTCAGCCCTCTATGCATATGATTAACCCAGCCTTTGACTCACTAGTTATTCAAAATTCTCCTGGGTGAACAGGTGACTGGTGCTATGCATAAATCTCCTACCAACTGACTCCATCCCTTTACTGGTGATAACTAGAATGGTAATTCTTAGACTGTGACAGATGGTTACACACATTTTGGAAGACTTAGATACCTACGAGTTTAGGTAGCAGATGAGCAATAGTTTTAAATAAATTAGTGATATGTAAATAGAAAATTTAAATTGTGTGGAAGTCAGGATGGGATTCAAAAAGTGCCCAATTTGCAATAATAAGGCATGTGAGGTAGATATAGATACACAAGTCTAGAAAGATTGAAAGCATGTGTGGTGTGCCCATGCTACTGTCATTACTGGGATTAAAGGTACCTGCCGGCCGACACGACTGGTTTATTGTCTCTTGGTCAAAATACACCTTGTGGCACAATCCTGAGCTGATGGGAGCTGGTCCCAGGAGAAACACATAGAGGTTTGAGTGGATCTCCCCCTTTTCCAAAGGCATCATGATGAGATATAAATCACAGCCCTTCTTTCTCCTTACTATTACTTGGTATCACCAGGGATGGAAAATTATTATTTTCAAAAAACGTTCACGTACTGCTCACCCAGCCTGAATGTGCTACCCAGAACTGCAGAGGTTAAAGCAGCGAATCAATCCTTCCTTTTAACAGCCTGGCAAGGAGGCAAGCAGCTTGCTAAAGAAAGAGGCAGAAGAGAACTCTGACCAGCTAAAAGAATAAAAAGGTACAGACCTAACACTCAGTCTCATTTATTCCATTGCATGCATTTCTGATTTTATTGATGTTGCAGATTTGGCACTTATTTTAGCCCTAAATTGAACTGTGCACACGTACATACCCTGCATACCATGTACAAAAAGTTTCTTCATAAATATCTCTGTCCCTCAAACACGTCAACAGTCTTCTGGGTGAGGGGGTGGAGGTGTATATCCAGTAGCATTTCTTGGCAATGAGTCCTTATAACTTCATCCCTCTGAGAATAGAATGTGCCTTTTCAGTAAATTAAAAAAGAAACCTCCATCTTCACTGCGGAGTATCACCTGACATGCTTGTTGATTTACTCGACTTATTTTTCATTCCATAATTCTTCCAGTCTGTGTTCCAATGATCTCATCCAGCATTTGTTTGATGAAGGTTACCAGTCTGGAAAAGCCATCTACTTCCACCTTCATTATTATGACTGATATTTCTGCTGCTCTGTTTACTTGCCTTTAATCTATTCCAAGGCTAACATTTATTTTTGGTCTCATCCATAAGGAATTCAGCAATACCCTCCCCGCTATCCCCCATCTAAGTAGTGGAAACCTTTGCATGACAATGAATCCTTTGCCTTACATTATTTTAACATTTTAACTACTCAGGAAGAGCTGTGGAAATACTACATGGTGCAGTCAGAACAACTCGAGCTGATTCCAGCCACAACCATTTCAAATTGATGCAAGTGATCACCAGCAACTGCTCAGCTTTCTTGATTATTGTCCTAACAAAGGGGCTGGATTAGTTCGTAGTTCCAGGGGCCAACAGGCACCATGGAAGGACAGAAACATTCCTAAGTTATTTCAAAAGCCATCAATTTTCCAAAGGGTGCTGTGTTGAATTAAAGCTTGTCCAAACTATTCAACCTGGTCATATTTCTTCACCATCAGCTTTGTATATGTCATCTGTTGTTTCACCACCTGTTAATCCATCTGTGCTCTAGCTGTAGATTTGATTTATAAAGATGCCTATATCTGACTTGTTTGCTACATGCGACCAATGTAGCTATTTTTTCCATCATTGTCTGTCTTTTCATGCTACATCTACCTATTAGTCTAAAATTCTGAAAGACAGGAAAAGATGAACAATTTTATTCCCACAACTGTCATTCACATTATTCTACCTTTTTATCATGAGTTATTGGAATCACATTGACACAACAGGACATTGCTCGAGTAGGTATTTTGATTTACAATTTTTCACCACCCTCATTCATTGCTATCAAAAACTAATTTTAATGATGAGTGATATGTAAACAAACCTGATGATTTGTATCATAATCAGCTAAAGTTATAAGGAATCTCCTGCTGTGGTTAGTCAAGTAAATGCACACATGAGCAAAATAACCTGCAATAGTTTTAATAATATTATTTCTATTTCTTTCAAAATTCTGGTAAACATTAGCCAGATACGTGATGCCTTTTAATCACCAAGCACATTCCCTTCTTCAAACATCAGCTTTGGACTGCAAGCACCACCTCTGATAGCAAAAAAAGGAAAAAAAAAACCAACAAAAAACCCTATCTTAACTTCAAAATTCTGGTAAACATTAGCCAGATACATGATGCCTTTTAATCACCAAGCACATTCCTTTCTTCAAACATCATCTTTGGAGTGCAAGCACCACCTCTGATAGGGTTTTTTGTTGGTGGTTTGGTTTTTTTTCCTTTTTTGCTATCTTAATGTCTTTTCATGCTACATCTACCTATTAGTCTAAAATTCTGAAAGACAGGAAAAGATGAACAATTTTATTCCCACAACTGTCATTCACATTATTCTACCTTTTTATCATGAGTTATTGGAATCACATTGACACAACAGGACATTGCTCGAGTAGGTATTTTGATTTACAATTTTTCACCACCCTCATTCATTGCTATCAAAAACTAATTTTAATGATGAGTGATATGTAAACAAACCTGATGATTTGTATCATAATCAGCTAAAGTTATAAGGAATCTCCTGCTGTGGTTAGTCAAGTAAATGCACACATGAGCAAAATAACCTGCAATAGTTTTAATAATATTATTTCTATTTCTTTCAAAATTCTGGTAAACATTAGCCAGATACGTGATGCCTTTTAATCACCAAGCACATTCCCTTCTTCAAACATCAGCTTTGGACTGCAAGCACCACCTCTGATAGCAAAAAAAGGAAAAAAAAAACCAACAAAAAACCCTATCTTAACTTTCTGCCTACGTATGTCTGTTCTTCAGTTGTACCACTATGTTCCAATACTCTAGCAATATTTTTCCTTTTACTGGCTCATTTAACCTATGCAATAAAGATGCTTGTCATGTCATAAGGTAAGTATTCTCCCTAGAAATTGCTAGAGAAGTTCGTATCAAACTGGACATTTCTATTGATTTTTGAATTGATATTAGCAGGTCTGTTTCTGTCTTCTTTTTAACAATTGACTTTTAGACCTCCACATCTCTTGAAAGAAATATTGCTGTAAATTGCCATGACCCAATGTAATCTTGACCAGCTTTTTCTTCTCTTATCCCTCAAGTGCTCTACTATTCTAATAGCTTTTCTTATGCTCCTTACAATTAGTTCACAGAAAATTAGAAGAGATAATGGTTAATGAACAACTGCCACTCACTGTCAGTGAAGTGCTACAACTAAAAGGCACTTTCAGAAGTCAGAGAAATGAGATAATATTACAGAGACGATGAGCCCTCTAGAGTTGGGGGGAAAAAAACTGGGAGAAAACTGAAAATTTCCTTGATCAGGACCCTTTTGAGACCTTGAGAATATTCACCTCTGTGTGGCACTCACCTTGAAGAACTTCTCTGTCCCTCAACACATGCAGTGAAATGATCCCATGACAATGATATTGTTAGAAATAATCTCATGGTCCTTCACAGGCTTCTCTCAAAACCTAAAAGATATAGGAAAAAAACATTTCCTGTTATTAAACTGGTGTGATATTAAAAGTACCAATATTTACCTTTATCAATGAGTGCCTTCACTGATGTTTAGGTTTGCTAAGAAGGCCAATTTATTCTTACTTTTACCAGCACAGAAATCCACAGAGCCTACCACATTAGGATAATAATTTTCCATGTACAATTGTTGCCATCATCCCTCCAGGATGAAACAAGAAAAAAGAGTAATGAAATAAAACCCCTTTTTTAAAATACTGTATAATTACTAAACAACATGTACCTCCTTCAAGTGATTGGCAGTAATTTTATGGCTGTATTTCTTCAAAAGTGATTTAACTGGCTTTAAAATATGTGATTCATATCTGAGCATCTTTGAGAAGTGCATGGTTGCCTAGCTAATATGCTGCCAGCTGTGATCTTTCTGCTTCCTGAGTTTACTTATATATAATTTGTGTTCAAACTACACTATTCAGCACTTTGGTCCTTTCTTGTGAGTACGGGGATGCATTTTTTGCCACTATGAAGTTTGATGATGATAGATGCTGAAGGCCACATTTTTAAGGCTTGATAATAAGAATAAGATACAGGTATTTGCCGATGTAGGCATTATCTAGTGGTGAGTGTTTTACCTGCAGTTCAGAAAAATCAAAGCTGACAGTTTCATGATAAATGAGATTGACAGAACAGGAATGTCACTGTAGAATTTCAGGAATACTGGAAAATAATTCCACTTTGGTAGACTCCCTGTACCTCTGCAGTGCACAGTGAAAATGGAAAACCTTTAATTCTACTACTTTTTTTTAATTTTATTTAAAAATAGCCACATCGATTTAAAGTGGTTACTTTCAGAATAAGGTTCCATACAGGATAAAACTCTGTAGCAGGATATTTCTATTTCTTATTTCCCAAATCAAGCTTAATCAGAAACACCCCCGAATGTGGTTTAGCATGCCGTTGGTCTTCATCTAGGAAAAAGATCAATTCTGTTGTGGAAACACAGTGCACAGCATGGGATCACACTAATCAATTTGAGCAAGCCTTGGTAAAACTATCTATTACTCTGCAATCCAGCAGCATCAAAGCTAATTAATACTTTACTCAGCTTTAATGAATGTATTAGTGGTTAATATTTGTGTGTAAGCTACTCATAACTCAATAATCCTATCCCATTTGCATTATTAATAGGATAGGTATGTGCCTTTGAGTTGATTGATCATAAAACCTATTAACCTAGATCTGCAATATGTCTCCAGTTACCTCCAAGGAAGAGCAGTAATCACGATGGGCGCAAGAGCAGGTAACAGATTTAGTGGTGTAAAGGCCTTTTCACATTCCAGGTGACTGTGACTGAAGAATTACAATGACAGATCCATTTTAAACCACCTGTGAGCTGATCTGGAAGGTGATAAATGTCTAAAACCAAGGACTAAATGCCCTGGATTATGAGATTCCCAACCTCTTTTAGGTCAAATCCTCTCTACGGGGGAAAAAACAATGACAGATCCATTTTAAACCACCTGCGAGCTGATCTGGAAGGTGATAAATGTCTAAAACCAAGGACTAAATGCCCTGGATTATGAGATTCCCAACCTCTTTTAGGTCAAATCCTCTCTACGGGGAAAGAAACAAAAAAGGAAAAAGAAAAAAAAAAAAAAAGATTAAAGGAAAAAGAAAAAGAAAGAAAAAAAAGGAAAAAAGAAAAAAGTAAGAAAAAAAAGAAAAAAGAAGAAATCCTATGCATGAACTAATTCACTCTGCACAAGAGACAATTTCTATTACTCTCTTTATCCCACTCACACATAAAACCCTACTGTGTAGTGCAAGCTTATTTATTTAAATGCATCTGTGGGTTGTTTCAGGTGGGATATGAGTAAATAAACCAAGTACCTCTCTAGTGCATGTTAGAGAAGAACAATATTTTGCAATTTCCCTCCTACAGTCTTTGTGTTCTGCAAAGAGGAATAAAAAAGAACTTCATCCTTTTCAGCAGTCTTGAAAGCTTTTGCTTATTCATACCTCCTTACAATAGAGGACAGATAATCATCCTGAAAGGGGAAAGCAACATTCAGATGCTGTGGAGAGAATATGCAGTTAGATGAATTCCACGTGAACAATAATAAAAAAAAAAGATACGAGGAAAAAGCAGTTCATTCCTTTGGAGACTCATCTTTTTAATGCACTATTTCCACAGGATCTTCTAATTGCTTCTTGTGGGATTGAAGAATTTCCCCTTGCAACCTCAATTCAGAAATTTGTTACATTGCTTGGCACGTTGTTCTTCTGCTTTTTTTATTTTTAGGTTTGAAGAATTGTTTTCTCATGCTTTTTTTGCCTCAGATATTTTCCCCATATCTCACATTTTCTCATTCACATTGTTACTATCAATGAAATTTAAGCTTATATGATGCTGGGAAGCTGAATCCTCTTTTATTGCCATACTTTCTTATATGGCGGGACAGCAGTGAAAGCTGCTGGTTAATCAGTTCTGAAGTCCTACATACAGGCAGGAGGATGGGCTATTAATTATCCAGTGAGGTGTACCTGCATGATTAACGTGAATTCATTTTTCATTCTGCACTGCATTGCTCCTCCAGATGCAATATCTTTGCTAGAACTATGTATAAAGGGAATTAAAGGGGGAAGAAGTCATGCATGTAAAACCTCAAGCAAAAGAATACAGTCGTCGTGGATAAAAAAAAAAAAGGAGACAAGATCAGTCCAGGTTGTACTTTCCAGATGTTTCTCATCTTTTCAGGTGCAGCTTTTTATTGCCAGCTGCCCCATGACAAGTTGAAAAGGCCTAATAAGTAATTAAGGCCGTCTGTCGTGAAACTGAGAAAAATGAGAAAAACAATATGCTTTCACCTCTCTTCATAGAGCTCTGATTTAACTGGTTAAAAATGTTCCTCTATTCTGCACAGGGCTGAGCAAATCACTCATCATAAATAATGTATTAACCTAATTTCATCACTTTTACTCTGTAAAATGGTCTTGAGTAGACTTAAAAGTTGGGTTTTTTAAAGGCATTGGTGTCGAAAGCAAATTACCAGGTATTTTATCTGCACGTGATAGTGATTAGTGATAGATTACAAACTGGTAATACTGTAAAATAAGAAAGTCTAATAATTACCTCTCCATGTACTATTTAAGAAATAACTTCAGAGAAAATATTTATAGCTAAAATTAGTGTTAGGAATATTTTGTACAACTGAAGCTCACTCATCAAGTGCTTGGGGAAAGTCACTGTGAAGGACGCAGGCTCAAATAAAAATTAATTATTTCTTAATATGCTAGTAAAATTATTGCTATCACTAGATGTGTTTTAATTAACGGCATCATAGCTTTCTGGGATAGACAATATCATCTCAGGTATACAAAGGCCATGTATTTATATCCAGATATCGAACTGCTCTAAGACAAATTGCCTATGTTTAACTAACCTGTGTCTCAGGATTACATCAAATCTTTTATTTCCCTTGATGCAATTCTGTTATTTCCCTTGAAGGTCTCTGCACATAAGGTTCAAACAGCAGGAAAAACAACTTCTGAGGTAATGCAGGAAGATACAAAATGAGAAGTGTGTCCATATCTCTGCTGGAAAAGAAATTGCATTTCTGGTAAGCAGCAGAGATCAAATAAGGCCGAAAGAGCCCAAGTGTCCATCAGTCTATTAAGGGCAGCAAGAGTCAATGGAAGATCAATATGTTTTGGGTAAGGCCGTGAAAGAGACCTCTAAATGTGCATAATTAGCCATTCACAGTAAAACACACTTGCGTATGAAAAAGTGTGAGAATAAAGCCAGAGACCTCTAAATGTGCATAATTAGCCATTCTTGAAAGTGTCAAAATAGTTCACAGTAAAACACACTTGTGTATGTGAAAACGTGTGAGAATAAAGCCGAAATAAAAATTAATTATTTCTTAATATGCTAGTAAAATTATTGCTATCACTAGATGTGTTTTAATTAACGGCATCATAGCTTTCTGGGATAGACAATATCATCTCAGGTATACAAAGGCCATGTATTTATATCCAGATATCGAACTGCTCTAAGACAAATTGCCTATGTTTAACTAACCTGTGTCTCAGGATTACATCAAATCTTTTATTTCCCTTGATGCAATTCTGTTATTTCCCTTGAAGGTCTCTGCACATAAGGTTCAAACAGCAGGAAAAACAACTTCTGAGGTAATGCAGGAAGATACAAAATGAGAAGTGTGTCCATATCTCTGCTGGAAAAGAAATTGCATTTCTGGTAAGCAGCAGAGATCAAATAAGGCCGAAAGAGCCCAAGTGTCCATCAGTCTATTAAGGGCAGCAAGAGTCAATGGAAGATCAATATGTTTTGGGTAAGGCCTTGAAAGAGACCTCTAAATGTGCATAATTAGCCATTCACAGTAAAACACACTTGCGTATGAAAAAGTGTGAGAATAAAGCCACTGCTTCTACCCATGTGAAATCCAGGCTGAGCACCATGTGTGAGAGCAACCATAAAAGCCAGAAGAATGACAACAACTAAACCCTAGAATATATTACATCAGTCTTTCAGACTTTGTACTTGTGAGAGCGTGAATTAAAACTTTGCTGTGAATGCTTGAAACTCAGTTGGGTCTGGGCTTTGGGATCCCGAATGTTCCTCAGGGTGAGTAGCAGCAGCAGCAGAGATGCTTGTACCCATGCACAGAAAATGCACATTTAATCCTCTACTGCATCTGAATAACAGAAACTGAGAGACCTTACGTCTAATCTGACTTCTGCTTGTACCCATGCACAGAAAATGCACATTAATCCTCTACTGCATCTGAGTAACAGAAACGGAGAGACCTTACATCTAATCTGACTTTTAGGATAATATTATACTGTAAATAAGGGTTAATATTACACTGTAAATAAGGACCAGCTGCCATCCAGGAGGATTGCAGAGTCCGCAAGGATTCAAGCAAAGCAAGTTTTTACTGTTGTTTCCTTT